AGACATGTATATGACAAACTAATGCCATCACTCTCCCCTCCCTCTCTCTCTCTCTCTTTGTGCCTCTCTCTCTCTCCTTTTTCTCCTAATTAGCCTCTCTCATTTAGCCACTCTAACCTAGCTAGACTAAGAATTTAATGATCTAGTTGAAAGCCATCAATTATCTTGAGATACTGTAGGCCTACGTGTATTTTAAATTGTATAATAAAAAAAATAAAAATAAACACTAAGGGATCCTACTCTTATTAAGTAGAATATCTTAACTGTACCACATTATCTTTCCTGGTCAATCCAGTTTAAGTAAGTTAGAGTTACTTTTCTTTTTGCCTTGTCCAGCTGTAACGTTAAGATCTCGTAAATATAACATTGTTAAATCTGACTCTCCAAATCGCGTATTGATCTAAGTGCAGCAGAGTTGTTTTTTTTTAAAGAGTTTACTTTTTTTTTTAAACCAAAAAGTATTCATATTTTATCGCTTACACTAAGTGCTACTTCTGCATTAGTTTGTATTTGACAGTGATGCCCAACATAAATCGACCTGCGGGGCATTTTAATTTCCGACACTGGTGTCGCGGGCCACATAATCGGAAAGGTACAAAAACGAAATGAAATTGACCTGAAACTATTTGATTAGAAACCCGTGGATCTAGCACTTACATTCATTAATGGGATATTATTATCTTTTTTTTTTCATGCGTCAGAATACGGTTTCATTTCTCTACTAAAAATATTAGCAACAGTGTAGCTAGCTTTACCAACGACTCATGTTCTTGACTCTTTTTGATAAATATTAACATTAATCTTCCAATCTCTAGACGTAGTTGAACAATCTTTTTATTCAAATGACGTCAAATTTGTTTTATTTTTGCGTTTCTTTAAAAAAAAAAAACAGCCACACTTTATTTACCACTCAAATATATTGGCTTATCATCATGTTCTGCCAAAATAGTAAAGTATTTTTGTTGTTTTTTTTTATTTTTGTTTTTTGTTTTTGTTTTTTGATAAATTCTACATAAAAGTCTCATAAACGAACAAATGTTAGTCATGGTACCAAACAATCGGAGAAAAATTGATGGCCCTAACGTAGGTAAAGAGACATTTTTAAACCTTTTCTTTAGCGGGGTAGCAGATTTTATATCCTTTGTGCCGACATTTCGGCGGGCCAGATGGAAACACGCTGTGGTATTTGACAGGCAGCCTTCTAGTTTTTTTTATATCATTGTTATGATTATTATCATTGAGTGTACATACTTCTAAAACTTTTCGTTTAACGAGTCAATTTATAATTAAAAAAAAAAAAGAAATACAAAAATTCAATTAGAACAAAGATGAGTTCAACATACAGACCTATATATATATACCTAGAGTCCTAGACTGGAAAACGGAAACAAATTCTTATCCGATAATGATCAGATCACAGACCTATATATATATATAGAAATCATTATTTACGTAACTCATTTTCAAGCTGTAAATCTTGGAAAATCGATTTTTTCTGTCTTAGAAAAGTAATGATCTTCAGTTTTCAAAGTTTAGATAGAATGCTATATCACTTGCCTATTTTTTTTTTATAGAATGGACTATTAATCACAGAACAAAATATATTCAGGCAAATCTATGAGATACTGTTTCGAAAATCCTAGATCTAGATCGTAAAAATTTAAGTTTGTTGATTTTAATCATCTTATGATTTTAGATTGTGCATTTAAATAGATTGATTACTAGATCTAGTAGATAATGTCTCCAAATATTGCAAAATAATAATAATGAGACGAGTGAACTTTTATTTTTTTTATGTTCGATAACATAGGTTAGGGTTAGGGTTAGGGTTAGGGTTAGGGTTAGGGTTAGGGTTGAAACTACTTTACAAAACAACGCCGTGTTTCATTTTTTAAACAAGTTTTTCACATTTTTGATTAGTGTTATGTCCAGTCTAGATATAATATATAATTTGGCATAATTTAAAACAGCAATTAATAAGTAGTTTTTCATACTATCGCGTGAACTGCAGCCACTGGCGGATCGAGGGGGGGGGGGGCGGTAGGGGCGATCGCCCCCCCCCCCTCCCCACTCGGCCGAACCCCCGCCCGAAGGAAGGGAGTGGACGAATTTTAGTATAGAATTCACACATCTGCATACGAATTTATTACTCATGTTAATAATATATACTAAATATTTATATTTCAACCTATTTTTAGATTATTTCGCCCCCCAATCTACTATGTTGGCCGACTTGGAGAGGACCATGCTACACTTTTGAGTGAGGGGGCTGTCCAATCTATTTGTAGAAATCACAGCTTGCTAACAGAATCAATAAAATATCTATGTGATTTAAACTTGTTATTAATATTTCAACCGATCTTTATATTATATTGTTCCCTGTTTGCCGATTGGGGGTGGGGGGCGAATACCTCTACTGCCCTTCCCACCTAAACCCTTTGAGGGGGGGGGGGCGGTCCTACTTTTATGGAGAAATCATAGTTTGTGAACAAAATTAATTCAATTAATATATACATTTTATATTATGTCGCTCCCCTTCTAGTATCTTGGCCGATTCGGTGGGGTTGGGGGGAGGGCGATTGCCTGTACTGCCCTCCCCACTCTAGTCCTCTGAGTGGGGGGTGCGGTCCTATTTTTATGGAGAATAATAGTTTATGAACAAAATTAGTTGAATATCTATATAATATAAACTACGTATTGATATGGGAACCCATTATATATTATGTCGTACCACACTCTAAATCTCATTAGTATTTTTATCATTTGTTTATTATCATTAGTATATTTAAATGAAAAAGGGTTGTACCAGGTTGGAGAGGCGATACATGCAATCGCATTTCCCCCATCGGACAAACCAATACTTTTTCTTTATGTATTATAGTTTAGAAATTACAAAATTTAAAAAATCTGCCACAAATATAATTTATATATACTATTAATTAAATTCTTATATCTCTTATTCTTAAGTCGCCCCACCCTTATTCTTTAATACCAAATGCAATCTTTAGCAGAAATTATTAAAGGAGCGAGGAGTAATCGTTTTCATTCTACCGCTCCTCCCATTTCCAGACAAAGTTTATGTAATTTGACATGAAGTTATCATAATTATTTTAGGAAAGACTTTGCATTGGAAAAGTTAGAATTCAAATGAAATTTTTCAGTATAAGAGCCATGATTGAGATGAGTTCTAAACCCAAATATTTTCATAGTCGCCTTTTCCCAACATTTACTCAATCTGATATTTTTCTAGTTAAATAAATTTGGAACTATAACTCACAATTTATACATCAATTTTATTGAATATTATTTATCGAATTTTTTTTTCGGCGGCGATCCTCAAAGCCTTAATCTAAATGTGTGGGGTATCTTATCTTTTCAAGGAACAAATCTGTTTTATTTGCAATGTATTAAGGGCCTATAAATTCATATTAGAATATTTTTCAAGTACAACATTATTCAAAAGGTCCTTTTTTAATAGTTTAAATAATGAGCTTTAGGTCAGGCGAATACGTTTCTTCTATGAAGTAGGCAAGAAAACGTTTTCGGCGTCGGAACCCCACTGATGAATAATGAGCTGTAGATGTCAGGAAAATGCGTTTCTGCAATGAAGAATGCAAGAAAACGCTTTTGGCGTCGGGGCTTCGACTCGAACTCCTTTGATGAATAATGAGCTGTATATGTCAGGAGAATGCGTTTCTGCAGTGAAAAAAGCAAGAAAACGCTTTTGTCGTCGGGGCTTCGCCCGGAACCCCACTAGGGAACCTTGTAGCGCTGTCCCAGTTGTTTTGTTTTTCGCCGAAAGTTGAGAAATGCTGTTTTTTTTAATTCTCATATACATATATATATGTGTGTATATATATATGTATATATATATGTGTGTGTGTATGTGCTGTACGCACGTTTATGCATAGGGTTAGGGTTTACTGGGCGTTAGGGTTAGGGTTTGGAAAAAAATCGCCCCACCCCCACTCCAAAGTTCTGGATCCGCTAGTGACTGCAGCCATGCCATATCGACACGAAACACTTAGCTAAAGGAACATTTTTTTTTATTTTATTTTTACGGAAATACTCTATTGCTGAGGATATCAATAAGAGCTTGACCCTTTGCAAAACTATTAGATTGATTAGATATTAGTTATAAGACATCAGTTAGGCCAGGTTTACATCCAACTTCGCATTCACTTTCACCTATCCTTTGGTCACGGGCAACACACAAGATCTGTCAACCTTCTTTCTCCATTCTTCTCTGTCATTTTCTTTGATATAATTTCATTCTGATGTTCTTTCTGAAAATAGTGAAACCTGCCTTTTTACCTGCCTGGGCGGACAAACTATATTTGTAACCTTGTTTTCGGAAATTCAAAGTGAAATATAAAAGATGACCTCAAACTATTTTTTTTAATTAAATTAACTCCGCCTATCTAATATCGATCCGTAAGTGTAGAAATAATCTGCTGGTTTGATTTTGAAAGATTCTATAGCCAATTAAATGTCTTACTATTTATAAATGAAGCACGCTCTCATTTAATTAAAACATGGTCATTACAATATAAGCAATTGTGTTTTTTTTATGTTAAATCTGTAATTTTTAGTGAAGAGCTTCATTCATCCCTAAGCTTTTAATGCAGTTAAATTTTTTTACCCGCAGTGGTTGAGGCCCTGAATTGCTATAACCCAATGTGTTTTCTGACACCAAAGTTTGGCATTATGTTTCCAATCACCTCTTAAACTTAATTCTTTCTGTCCGTAATCATTTACCACATTCTGGTGGAATCAACGCTGGTATCGTCAGTTAGGAGAGAAAGAGTTAAGTCACAATTCAAAGGCCTGTGCTTCGCTCATTTTTCTTTAATCTGCAAAGTTTTCACCCAGAACTACGTCTAAAGACTAGAAATAAGCTTTCTATACATATTAAATATAAATAAAGTACAAAAAAAAACTAAATTTTAAGAAAATACAAAAATGTTTATTTACAAAATAAACAACAAAATTTAAATTTATATAGGTTCCAAAAAAAATTATCATAAATTTAATTTCGGAATATTTAACGTTTTCAAAATAGATATATACAAATTATTAAAAATCATTTAAAATAAACAATCTTTAATTATTTTTTTTAAGGCAGTAGGTTTAAAATAAACATTGTCAATGTCACTAAAAATAAAAAATGTAGTGTATGGTTTGTATAACAAGAACATATAATTATCAATATTACCAACTTTTATAAATTATAAATGGTTACAGTGTGATTTAATTTATGCATGATATCGCCTTCAAAATACCGAGAACGTACTTAACGTTGAACAAATAATTAGTTCTTAGAGCTACGCATAAATAGAAAGAAATACAAAGCAAAGAAAATTAATAAATGTCGAGTTTCATCGAACTGTTTAGTTTGTACTTTGTTTTGTTTGTACTTTGTTTTGTTTGTACTTTGTTTTGTTTGTACTTTGTTTTGTTTGTACTTTGTTTTGTTTGTACCCTGCTGAAGTGTTAGGAATTATTTACTAAGGCAGAGAGTTAGAAGTTTTAAAGGATATTTATAAGAAGAAGAGAAAAAAACATTAGAGAGTGAACAGTACAGAGTGAACAGTACAGAGTGAACAGTACAGAGTGAACAGTACAGAGTGAACAGTACAGAGTGAACAGTACAGAGTGAACAGTACAGAGTGAACATTAAATAGTAAAGGCAAAAAAAAAAAAAAGCGATCTAAAAAAAAAATGTTCTTAAATGCGTTCCAATAAATAAATAACAAAGTTGTCTATTTTTTTTTTTTTTAATCATCACAATTTTGATCCTTTTGAAAAACATTTTTTTATTTGAACCAATATATAGCCCGCTATGATTGTGTGCATAAATATTACAAATAGGAGATCCTTCTTGTTTGCTAGTCTGTTTTCAGTATGTCTTCACATGAAGTACTGGAAATATTTGAAAAAAAAAGGGATATAGATACATAAAATGGCTAAAGTGGGGGTTAAAAAAAAAGTATCCTTTCCCAAAAGTTCTGGGTCAAGCCTTGTACCAATATGAGCATGGTGATTTACCAAAGTATTGAATCCATAGCCATTGAACTCCACGTCCTTCCATTGAGTGTCTCCACTAGCAAGGAAAACAAAGACCTGCTCGTTTGCTTTTTTTTTTGTAGGGGGGGGGGGGAAGTAAAGTTCCTCTTTCAGACCTTGTGGCCTATTGGTCAGATGATCTATTGGTCATGTTTCTGTGGCCCACAGTTGACAGGATTTCATGTGGCCAGCACAACGACCAACCGCCTTCACTTCTCCCCAACTAATGTCAAGTACTCATTAGAGCTGGGTGGACTCAGGCGCCCAAAGATCCTGAAATTTAAAATCCCAGGATTCGAAAGTGGGATTCCCGATTCGGAAGCCAAACGTTTTAACGCTCAGCCACCGCGGTGGGGGGGGGGGGGGGAGAGGGATTGGATAAGACTAATTTTTTTTTTCGGGGTGTGGTCGAGAGGCTAAGTACAGTTGGACTTGTCTTAGCTTGGCTACCAATGAAGCGGGCTCGAGCAGAGTTGTGTTTGACCATAGCGTTCTGAGCATGCTATAAGCATGAAAGTAGCGCTATATAAAAGCTATAATTTTATTGCAATGAAGAATGTTCTTGATATACTAAACAATGTCAAGGACACTAAACTGAGCTATATGTAAGCAATATCTTTATGCGTGACAGTTTCTCGTACTATAGTAAGTCGCCCCTTTGTTTTGAAATATGTTTTAATACAGAGTGTATATAGTATGGTATGTGTTCTTATTGAAATTATTTTGTAATATAAATTCAAGAGCATGGACAATTTGATCCTGTAGTGTTAAAAAGTGCATTAAAATGATCCTATAATTTCCTTTCTTTTATACAACTCATACATCATATACCAAAAAGCTAACTCTGTTTAGTTTTCCCACCATGTATGAAAATCGTTAAAAGTATTCCCAGCAATTAATAAGGAACAAAAATAAAACAAAATTACTTACAGCTGGTGGAGCACTTTTTACTGCCCTTGTCTGGGGAAATTAAATAGTCCTTAATTAGTAGGTTAATAACATCTTGAGTAAATTGTCCAACAAGCAATGGGTGAATATTTTATATGTCAGTTCCTTGTTGCTTGAGTGAATGAAACAACACTAGAACCTCAGTATCCGTTTTTAGTTGTTTTGTTTTTTTTTATTTTTAAAACCAATTTGAAATTGTATTTGGCAGCACACGTTCCATGATAGATTTAGTTCCCTTGCCTTTATCTGCTGCGATGAAAATGATATAAATTTTTGTTGTTATTTTACAAACATTTCTTTGAGATATAACTATTAAAGAAAACATAATTAAAATATTAGAAACTGTTTTTCATTCAATGTCAGATTTTTATATGGGCAGAAGCTAAGGGGAAATGGGGAAATATAAATTTAATCAAAAATAATTTAATAAAATGAGACTAGACTCACCGTGTCGCTGTTAAAAAGCTGTATAGAACTAATAGATACATCCCCATTGATGTATATAAAGTTAGATTCGTGCATGTCAACTCGATGATTGAAAGCATAGAAAGGTGAGTCGTCTATAGTGATCTGTGGAGTGGCACAAAACATTTGGATTTAATGGGAGGAATATTTGAGCAACATGCAAAACAGTAAACACCAAAAGTAAGTCAGAAATGTTGTAATGTTTGTAGCGAGAGAAATAGTAACGTGAAAGGCGGAACACGAGATATATACATATGAACATACAATGGTAGCATTCTAAAAAACAAGAAAAATATTTTTTAATACTTTTAAAATAACAAGGCTTACACTAACTGTAATTGTATTAGTCAGTTTGGCTCAGTCATGTAATTAGATTTGTAATACATCTGAACTAAATTAAACTATGATCCTATCGCTTGTCTGGACCAGTTGGGAAAGGTGGGGTAGGGAGAAAGAACGGGGTATCTGTCAATGTTGCCGTGATCGTGATTAAAAAATGTATTTAATTTTTTTTTAAAGCTGTACGACTTAAATTCAAACTCAAAGGATCAAGCTGATACCCTTACTACTGTGCCAGCGAATTGCTTATGAAAATGGAAGGTTTTATAGTTATTTATTGCTAATTTTAATTTCAAACTTTAACCTAATTATCTACTTGTTGTATAAAGGGGACCTACTCAACTTATACCACTACATCTGTCATGTACAATTTCTTTTCCTTGTTTGATACCAAACAAAATAATCAATTACCAATGGTTAATATTTTTGCAAGAAGTACAAGAACTAATTGTGCGAAATTTCAACTTGATCCGAGGTTGGGTGTGGGAGAAATAGCGTGTACAAACTTTCTACCAAACACAGTGGGTGTGGGAGAAATAACGTGTACAAACTTTTTACCAAACACAGTGGGTGTGAGAGAAATAGCTTGTACACACTTTCTACCAAACACAGTGGGTGTGGGAGAAATAACGTGTACACACTTTTTACCAAACACAGCGAGTGTGGGAGAAATAACGTGTACAAACTTTTTACCAAACACAGTGGGTGTGAGAGGAATAGCTTGTACACACTTTCTACCAAACAGTGGGTGTGGGAGAAATAACGTGTACACACTTTTTACCAAACACAGCGGGTGTGGGAGAAATAACGTGTACAAACTTTTTACTAACAGATAGAAAGACAGATAGACTGAGTTTTAAAAAAAACATGTCAAAATCAGAGCATGCTTTAAAACAAGGACTCTCTAGAACTAATGTCCCAGATAGAGATCTGTTCTGTTTTACAAAGCTAATGTAATAAATTCAATAATATTAAATTGCAATATCTATCACTTACCACATATGACTGTTTGGTCACAGCTATCTCTATCACGAAATGCTGGTTCGTATTGAAAGGCATATTCAGCCAGCGTTCTTCCTTGCGCCACTTGGAATTCTTCTTGTAGTTCATAACCACCTGGCCATCTGTGCACTTGGAGTTGAACCTAAACCTCGGGTTGAAGTGAAGGACACAATCCTTGTCGATGTTATTGTCCTGGCTCAGGTTCACACTGAAGCTGGGAAAGAAAAAAAGAGCTAGATGCAGAGTACTTCGTTTGTAATTGTTTTTGGTCAGGTTGTAGAACGTTGTCCACTCAACAGAAATGAAAGCATCGACTGATTTTATTGAAGTAACAATTAGAATGAATGCAGTCTTGCAGCGCAGAATGTTATTCTTCTATTATTTACTTCCCATTTTTCCTTTCCATTTAAATTCGAGTACCGGTTACTTGAAAAAAAAAAGTTACTATCAAGTCTTGGCCCTCATCCCACCTCGAGGCTAGAAACCGCTGTCTATCCAAATACATAAATAGGAGAACGGTGTGATCAAATGAAAGTACCAACATTGTATACACTATTTCAATAAGGCCATAAACAGCTTATCTTTTCTTATCTTATAGATGGCATAACCTTGTCTCATAAGAAAAATAATTATGCCCTACGCATTTCACGTGTCAATCTAGTCATGCATGTTAATCAATGACTCTGCTAAGTCGTTGGTTTTCCTGGCTGATAAATGCAACCCACCCCATGCTCTAAAAGCACTAGGGAAGAATGAGCACTTTCGTTGATCTTAGCATTTGAAAGAAGGGATGTGCCTTGAAAGATGTAAAGTTTTACACAATGATTGTTTCCCTTTGAGAGTAAATTAAACCACTAACTTTTTGTCATTGTTTTGACAACATTGACATTTACGCTAATGCGTCACAGTGAATGGCATAGTTTCATTTGTTGCTAGACCAAAAGTTGACTATTCAACTGTTTGCTAAACAAGTCATCCATTGAACATATATGTCAGTGTTAGCCTTTTGAACGTTGGTAGTGTTGTCTCAGTTCTGATGATTCTATCATACCTTTTAAACGTTGGTAATGTTGTTCTAGTAATGATGATTCTATCTTACACTTTGAACGTTGGTAGCGTTGTTTCGGTAACGATGATTTTATCTTACCTTTTGAACGTTGGTAGCGTTGTTTCGGTAACGATGATTTTATCTTACCTTTTGAACGTTGGTAGCGTTGTTCCGGTGATGATGATTCTATCTCCCTGTTTCAGTTTCACTGGCAGCTGACAACACAAAGAACTTTTATTCTAGAAAAATAAAATCATTGTTGTGTGAAGTTCATAATATTTATATGGATGGACAGACTTATGAGTAGGTAGATCAGTGGATATATAGAAGGTAAATTTTGTTTTATGTTACATGTTTCGTAAGCTCCTTCAAAAGTGAAGATAGCTCAAATTTCTTCAGGACAGCGAAAAAGCCAGCCAGGAAAACCAAT